GTAACCTTATAGTATTACTCAAATTTGAAAATGACCATTTATGCAATATTCTTGGTAGTGTAGAGTTTGTGACATCTTATTAAAAGCATAGTAATATTGACAAACTTAAATAAAGCACTTAATGTGAGTCATATATCAACTTTAAACACAAATGTTTATATGAATTGTCCGTCTCATCATTCTGTGGTCTGTACATACATATTCTAAAGTGACATCTACTCCACCCATCAAGCCACAATAGCAGTCCCTTATGAAAGAAAATACTGTGATTACCAGTAGTGCACCACTACTTATTGGCATACGTGTTATAGCCTAAAAGGTAAGTCTCAACCCTTTGGTTCACATGAACTTGAGTGAACCTATAGTGACTGCTTTCCGATGCACTGTTGTATTTTGTTTTGTTCATATATTTATATGGTTAATTTACATGATATCAGTTTGCAGCTTATGCACCACTGTGCAAGCACCGAATGAGGTTGCAGCACATAAACCAAAATCTTGTGGTCTTATGAGCCACAACAGTGAGCCAAATGACAATATTTCTTGAGGTAGGCTTTAAGTGTTAGTAAACCTCCCTTAGTCTTGTACTGTTTCTTAGAGTTACCCAACGAGTATGCTTACTACTGGATTGAACCATATTGAATCAGTGAAAGTGAGGCCCGCATGGACAAGGATTTTCACCAAAAACTATTTGGTTTATAAGTAAGCGTTTGAAGGCCCATTAGTTGCTTGTGTTTTACCACAAATTTGGTGAGTCACACTATTTTAAGTTGATTTCAGCATTGTGGTTGCTGCATGCATATTTACGCAAGTCATTTTGTACAGACGAACATTGGGCCTATGATCAGATTAGAAACAACAACCCGAATGTACACAGTGCATCTGATATAATGCATGTGTAATTTCGATCACCGGCATAGCTGAGTTGGTAAAGTGGCTTCTCCACAGCTTGGCAGATCATCTGGTCTTGCACTGGAAAAAAAAACTTTTTTTTAAAAAAAAAGAAGTGTCACACAACCTCAGTCTCAAACTGCCAAATAAGCTAGTATAAAAATAGACAGTGGTATATAGAAGATAAAACTCAGTTTTTATTTGATTTGAGAAACACCCAAGTGCAATTTACAAAACTGTGGGTTTATATCTATAGCACCATGACAGTTATTTTTTTTTTTAAATCATCTAAAAATTATATTAGAAAACAGTTTATCCACTTTGTTAGTCAATTGAATATTTTTCAGAAATATTCATTTTCAAGACTACACTTATAAAAAGAAAACAATATTGGTTAAATCGTTTTACAATCTCACCAACTAGATTATCACTCTAATAGAAAAAAATTGTTGTGGAAGAAAGATCACTATTGTTTGGATGTGTAGCCATAAGTCATTAAAACATTGCCTGCTCTCATTACCTAATTTTCCATTCATTTTAGCTAACCGTTGTGGCTTTCAACAGATGATACGATAGATTTATTATATTTTAAATTATAGAATGTTACATAACTGAACAATAATTTTGTGGCTGTGAACACATTACTTTCATCCACCAAACCAATTTCTGCAATAGCACAAAATTCATCACTAGAGGGAAGGCATATTGCCGAGTCAGTTTTGCCCCCGACCTTAGTTACTAGAGGGCAGATGTTTTGCTGAGTCAGCTTTGTCATGTGAGGCAGATGTGTTGCCCCCCCCCCACACTACAGGCGTATTTAGGCCATACATATGTCACTAGAAGGCATGTGTATTGATAAGTCAGCTTTTATAAAAGGCAGTTACCCCCCATGTCACTAGAGGACTGGTGTGTTGAGACCCCCCCCCCCCAATTGACGGAGCATGCCCCCTGCCCCCCTAGTAAGGTCGCACCTTTGGAGCGAGGGATGGCGAGCAGGAACCCTCCCCCCATGCAAAATTTCGTGTCAGTCCGTGGAACCATTTATTTACCATAACACACTAAAATAGACTAAAATGGCTGTCATTACATTGCATGTAGTAATAAAAATACTACTTGAAAATAAAACTAAATTGAGAAAAAAAAAACTGAATTAGGAATCTACATCCTCAAAAAGCCGACATGGGCTGTGAAAATTCGAACAGTGGTGCTAGGTCAAGAAAATAAAAAATAACTGACAAATCACAACTATTAACAAAAATAACACCCCCTGTTACCAGCACGCCGACCGTTCAGAAAAAAAAACTAAATAAAAACCTTTCCCTAAATAAGATATATATATATATATATATATATATATATATATATATATATCAATGTATGATTTTCTGTTTATTTATTCTTACAATTTAAGTAATATAAAGACTCGCAGATTAAATCAGCAAAATATCTGTCCGCATATAACACCCTTAAATAGTCAATGTTGTGTGAAGGAGTATAAATATGGAATGTAAATCATATCCACTGATATAATATGATATGATCCAGGCGTATCACACTTCGAAAATAATAGGGTGGGTAGAATGACCAGCTGTATTTAATATTATAATTTATTTAAAAATAAGTGAATTTGTTGTATGTATGGAAATACATATAACATAAGTGCAATAAAAAAATTGAGACATATGTGTACGTGACCCCACCCCCTCGATTTCAAATGGTCAACCCTAAATCTGTTTCAAGAGAACATTTCGCTCTCGGTTTATGACAAGGATTTATTCGATTTAGTTTGCAAAATGTTGCTGACTTGCAACGCGGAATTGTTCCCGCCACTTATCCATCCCATCCCCATCCCTACTTTAGTACATACGAGACTATATACTAGCATTTCGCATCTTCATTACAAGAACCCACCACCCCTATTACAATATAAACTCGCCGTTATTAACATAATGTTTGTCAGTGTATAATTTGGATCAAAACTGACGGCATCATTTTGAACGTTTTACATCACCCACGAACGTTTGAGATAAAGCACGCACACCATGAACAAATACGTACTGTCGTTTATGGTTGCATTGTTGTCGTTCACCGTCGTCTGTGCCGTGTCTCCGTTTCACCAGGTATGTGCACACCGTGATATATTTTCAGTTTTGCATTTTTAGTTAGGTGCGTTATTATCACTCCCGTTCAATAGCCAAGACATAGCTTACATACCAGGGCGCATGCGCCACCTTGTCTTTGCTAGCTGTATATATAAATGTTAAAATAAAAAATAAGGATCAACAAGCTTAGTTGATTTGCTTCTAAAATGAAGCCTAGGATATTGATTTTTATGGGTCGAATAATAACCGTTCTACCCTCCCCGAGTGTGTGTTTTAGATGACGTCATATAATAAGAAATACACCTGAATAGATGATGTATTTTAAATGCTGTTTGATTGCTATAATCGCGACGTGCTTTCAAAACGTATCCATGCAATGAACAATGTGACGGTAATCGCTCAAATATTATTTCGTCTTAAACATTTTTTTTTTCAATATTCAGAAAATATTACCTCAACTGTATTGTTTTTACAAATCTGACTATTGTGGGTTGAATTACAAATGATACATATTTAGCAATCATTATTGCAATATGTTTTTATCTATAAAATACAATTAATAATTAACGATTCTAGAAAAAAAATCGCAAAAATAAAAAAATAAAATTACATGTATATTTATGGGGCGTTTACTGTTCATCGCATTCTATCTGAGCGGGCACGTACACATGAGTTGTTACATTTGAAATTCACATTGACATGATGTTTTGGTTATTCCCTAAAGGCACAGGTGGTTAATGATAATTCAATGCACACGCTCAATTATATTTTTCCCTGTATCATTAAGAACTGCAATGATCAGCCTATTGTATTTGCTTGGGTCTCAACAATAAACGAGGCGTTTTTAATTTAGATGACAATGTCGACAGAACTCACTTACCACGTTTCAGCATATTTCCGAAACCATGACTACTCAATACTTGTAAGCACCCGATAGATCAATTAGTCTAGAACTGAAGGTGGATTTTGCTGGAAGTTAATATGTTATTAAATGACATTCGGGTCACCCCAAATCGGTACACCGGTACGATCACTGTATTACATGTGTGAAGCAAATTGTGTGATAATAATTTTAATTGCAAGTCCTAATTTCAGTTGCATTTTTCAAAGACTAAACTATAAATGATGAGGCAATTTTTCGCTGTCAGCGGTGGCGTTTGATTTTACATATACTAGTAACACATTTGGGTATCAAAATACATTTATTGTGTTTAATGTTAACAAAAACAAACTAGGTAAGTAATAAAATCTTTCACATACAATATTAAGAGAAATAAATTGAATAAGATTAGATTAAGTACTAGGGTAAACTGAAGAAGAAAATAGCATTCAGCTACTCAATCCTAGACACAATATTGGAAAGATGTTTAGATTCACGTGCCATAGGGTAGTGCTACGCAAGTTAATTAATTAGTTACAAATGACCACAACTTGATAATTCTTTACAAATGACCAATAATACAGATTCTATAAAATGAAGAAAATATGTGGACGATAACAACAACAATAACAAATAGGATTTATGTATATTCTTGTATAAATGATTTTTTCAATGATTTCTTAGACTAGACGGGTGATTTTTACGATCTAATTTCAATTCGAGTAGCGTTCTAATGTTTCGCGCCAACGTACGACATTGTAAACTGACCAGCAGATGTGTTGTTATGTTCAAGAAATAAGCGTTGACCTTGTAACAGCAATCAAGCGGTTGGATATTAATAATTTGATAACACGGGTGTTGAATTGTAGTTGACTAACTCAGGAACAAATGTACAAATTTGTAATTCAAGTCTCTGTAAGTTGTAGATAGTCTGGCAAATAAAGGCGTGCATGGAGTTGTTCACGGAATATTTCGCCATACTCCAATATCATAGGTAATCTATCTAGGAATGAACGGATTGTAAAGAAGGATTAAAACGTTGTTACGAGGTAGAGTATGGTGGAGAATTGGGAGCATCCCACATTCCACCTGATACATATATTTTTGCAATGCTACATTTCTTGCCAAGGTGCTATCCAATTAATTGTGCAAGTCGGGGAGGTAAGGCCTCAACTTTATTATCCATACTCGGGCAATTTATGTTGCAACATGGTTAATCCATATGCCCCCGGGAATATGCTCTTACGTGTTGTTCGCAGCAGTCTGTCTTCCCCGTGACGTCATTACGTGTTCAATAGTGCCGATTTTCTCGAATCGTCAGTACGCGTGTGCAGAAACCGCAGATCTGATATTTTAGAGAGAATTCGTGAGACATCTATCGATTGAGAGATATCAATCAATTCGACAACATACAAAATCCATCTCCTTGTTTGTAACAGAAATAGTAATATGATTAACAGAACGGGATATATGAATAGTATAGTGTTGTGTTTCCACGATGCAATGGGTTGGCAAACAAGATGAATATCACCTCAAATTCGCCATCTTGTGTAATTCCAATTTCTGGAACATGGGCCACTGGGAATATTTAGTAATCGTTTCCTATGAGTGAATTTTCTTTCACTGCGAGATATCGCGTAATGCGTGAAAGAGTGTATTTTCATAGTTTTATGTCGAAATGCTGATTTTTTAAATCAATTATGGCTTTGAGATACCATTACGTCATCAAAATATTCCCTCATAAATTTTTATTTTTCGACCCAAGCGTAGTGCTGTGGTCAGTGTAGGGAAAGGTTCGGGTCGTGGAGTAGGAGAGGTTTATAGTTCCATGGGGAGACTAAGGCGAGGTGTGTCTAGTTAGAACACAAAGTAGCAACCCATTTAATCGTTAAAACTAAGCATCTATATACTGTTACATGTCAATATTTGTGCAAACAGAAATTGTAGGGTAGCAGGATGTTGCATAATACTTAAGTCGTAAAGATTACCGTACACATGGTTAGCCATTCGTTCTTCTTATCTATGCCGTCAAAGACATAACACATTTTCCGACACTCCGGGCGGGCCGGTTGAGCAGATAGATAATCGAAAGTAATAGTTAAACCACAGTCCCTCTATTCTTCTATAAGTTTATAGTTCCATGGTTAAAGGGGAACCTTCCAAACCCATGGATTGCACCAAAGAATCATGGGACACTATTGTTTATGTTGTTTACAATGTTAATCTATCTTTTGTTATCCATTGTTATTTTAATCCAGAAAGTAAATTTGTTGTGAGATTAGGCTTAACTGGAAGGTGTCCCTTTAAACGAATAAGGTTATAAACAGAAATATAAAAATATATTGATACAATGTGAAATAACGAAAAATGTGACGTGGGGCGAACACTCTAATTAAACGAATAGCACAACTTGAACAAATTACAATTCGAATATTACGTACAATTACGAATATTAAAAACACAATACTATAAAACATGAACATGATACAAGTCTATGATTACATATCAGGTTATTCTACAATGAAATTTGGATTTGCGGTTGAAACACAATCTGTATCTTTTCACAAATGCATTACGTGCATCATGTCCGACAACGGTTTCACAGACGTGTGTAGAGTGAGGCCCTTTGCAGTAGGCGCACTTGAAGGATCTTGTGGGTTTAGCGACCGTAGATCGAGAAGATTTGTGTCCAACATGAAAGGATGTTATAGAAGGTAGACACCTTTCACTGGAGAAATTATCATTGAAGTACTCTATGGGGATACCTGCTTGTCTGGCTTGAATTTCCGTATGGACCGCTTCCTTTAACTCGTGTAGTGACCACGCTGTGTTACCATGCTCGCGGGAAATCTGGGTTTTGACGTTTGCCGGTAATTTATCAAAAATGATTGGCACAAGTAAATCACCATACGAATCCTTACTTTCACCGATGTGAGTTTGGAGATTGTCATAAGAGTTCGTCATGTTGGATAACGTATTATCTGGCGGCGGTAGTTCCAAAAATGCCTTCGTGTAGCTTGAACTAATTTTGTGTTGCTGATCATACCGTTGTTACAAGGTGGCTAGCGCTTCTGGATAGTTGGCATTGGTTAACTGGAGGCCCTCGATCGTTCGCGCTGCTTCACCGCTTAGTTGAGCAGTCAATTATTGGAATTTCGGGGCCTCTTCCAGCATATCTAGTGATGATGTGAATGTGTCAAGAAACGTAGTATATTTTGGAATGTTACCTTCGAATTTCGGCAAATACGATTTGGGGAGGTTGACCGTCCGTCTTGTTGTAGACGATGTCAAGGAGGTGTCATACATTGAGCTTGCTTCAGGTATCGATCTCTGCTGAGTGTTTCTCTCTATGAAGTTTTCGTAACGTACCACATGTAAGTTGATAATTATAGCATATTCATCCGCTTCTTCAAAGTACCGTGCGTATTCGTCTTCGTCTTCAATTTCGTCAAGTATTATTTCGTCGCATTCCTGGATCCAGGATGGTTTCTATGAGTTTCTTGATGTCTCGAATTGTTGTCACCGTTACGTTTTTGTCTGACGCAAGGAGTTTTTTTCTTTTCTCGTAATCTCTTCAGCCTTGTTGAGTTGCTTGGTCAATTGGTCTGTCTTGTCCTTCCGTTTCTTGTAAGCCCTTTGGCTTTCTGTCTGTTGAGTTGCACGATCGGTAGGCATGTCGAAGGTGTCTTAGTCTTGACTGGGGACTCACGATCCTGGTCTCGGCACCAAACATGTAGGGAAAGGTTCGGTTCGTGGAGTAGGGGAGACTAAGACGAGGTGTGTCTAGTTAGAACACAAAGTAGCAACTGATTTAATCGTTAAAAATAAGCATCTATATACTGTTACATGTCAATATTTGTGTAAACAGAAATTGTAGGGTAGCAGGATGTTGCATAATACTTAAGTCGTAAAGATTACCGTACATATGGTTAGCCATTCGTTCTTCTTATCTATGCCGTCAAAGACATAACACATTTTCCGGCAGTCAGCAGGAGGGTCCCACAGTGATAGAGGGACTGTGTGTCAGCGTTTTCGCCCGGGCCAGTTGTGAGATCGACCTACACGGTCGATTTACTCAGCGGTATATATTCCACGGTATTATATATTATTCAGACTGTACGTGGGTGCTATTCAACACAAACGTCAAATGTAATCAGTGTGCAAATCATTATTTAAATTAGTATGAATATTACAAAGTTCCCTATATAATTTGTAGACGATGAGATTGCCTTTAGTAGAAGAAAACACTCTTTCTAAGTGATAAACGAATGTATATATTTATGAGTAGCATATTTTACTACTACTTTAGTTTTACCACCCACGAGAGCGTCTAATATATGCACGATTACTTGTCTAGTGTTTCTCTCTCAAGTCAGTGAATGATGTCACTGTTACATAGTGCGCAATCGTCTTAGCGCATTCGCTGTGTGTATGTGAAACAGACATATGTCTTTGTACGCAAGTCACGTTTCATTTATGGTATATTGATCGATTAAATTCAACTCTATTGTGTACGCGAACAGTCATGATGGACATCAACTGATGTTAATAATCATGATCATAGTGATATAATGGTAACACGATTTCACCGCGATGTGCATGCGGCAACTGATCACCTAAATAGGCACCATTTTATTCTTACGTAACAACGTAGATGGAGATGACTGCTTTTGTTTATGCCCATATGAAAGAGACAAATGAACACTTTGGTATTTTAAAACGTGACTAAACTCGATTGCCCTCGGCCGATAAACAAAATCTTTGATAAACCCATATTTCTGAATATATTTTTAGTTGTCACATGTCTACCAGCACATGTCTGCAAAGCAAAACATCTAACTGCACAACAAATCATTCACCACGGCGCAGCTGTGACTTAGTAATATCGACGGAACCGAAATTTCGAATGTCTGATTCGATTTGTAAAACAAACAATAAAAAACAAAAAACAATTACACAAAAAAAATAAGACATGTCTTTCTTTTGTTGACGTCAATCATATTTCATTTTGGCTAAGGTAGTAGTTTGGCATATTCTATTCCATTCAAGGGGATGGTACTTTTCTCCCAAAATGGATAACATTATTTAGCTGGGAAAACAACTCGTCAATGCATTACATTACGTTATTTATTTTTATTAATATCGCCACTGGTTCGATTATATCGATTCCTCGATCGGTCGGATGGGTGTAGTCGGTAATGTAGAACAGTGACCTCACGCTGAAGACGTTCTGAGGCAATAAATATAATTAGTTATGTAATATTGACTATCTGTTCTCGCCACCATTTTGCTCATTCGTATTTTAAGTACATTTAGGTACGAAACTATGATTATATCGCCTCGATATACATCCCCTTATTTTGCGTCTGCATGCACAAATATCAGATCATACTAGTCACGTGGTCGGTCAACAATTTGAGGTCAGATGTAAAAACTGTTTTTTTTTTACTTGACAACATTGAGAAACACACATTAGGTAATTAATTCAAATTGATCACTGAATACGCAATAGAATAGAATAGAATAGAATAGAATAGAATAGAATAGAATAGAATAGAATAGAATAGAATAGAATAGAATAGAATAGAATAGAATAGAATAGAATAGAATAGAATAGAATAGAGTTATATTTTGCCCAGCCGCCTTACATGCGATTTTCGACAAAGAGTAGACATGTAAATGAAAAACTGTTACACTATGTTTATCTTTAAAAGATGTCCCAACCACTCAATTTGGGGCACGCCTTCAAAACTTCGGTGTGTTCCGAGAGGAGTGTTAATTTACACGAAGCATGCACGAAGCATGCACGAAGCAACACATGCATGCTTAGGGGTAAAATTGCTTGAAAAATAACGAAATGGTCATTATTTGATGCGTCGAAAACCCTGAAATCATTATCACCTTATGGTACCCCCTATCATACCAGCATTAATTTGGCCGTTGTCAACAAGACCCTTTAACTTTTCAGACACGAGTACTGTTATTTGGCCAATGTTTTGAATAACATGTTATAAATTATGTAAAATAATGCGTTCGTACTCGTCGCTAAGTTATACTAGTAAGTGGAAAATAAAATGTGGGTGTGTACTTAGTATATTATTCATGCATTATATCGTATCAACCCAACTCATAAAATGCAGAGCAAAGTGGGCGAGTATTATTCAGGTGTCGTCTGCGCTTATATCAAACATCATACGCTAGCATCACGCATGCGTCACGATATTTTCTCAAAATAATATCCGATTATGTTCCTTCGGATTAGCAATAAATCCTTGTTACCATGGCGTTTTGTACAATGATGGTTGCATGAAAACGTATTTCTAATTTGCCTCTTAGGGTAACTCCGTGTGGTATCAATTTTAAATCAATATCTTGCGCCGCTGTGATGCAACTTCCTTAAACCTTTTAGTATTTGTGTATACTGAATTTTAGAATGAAAACAACCGTCGACAATGCACGTACGTACATTGGTAGTTTGACCTGTACTCAAATCAATCATATATAACATTATTAACAAGAGTCGTTACGCGTAAACAATGCATTATCACGTTTCCCGACATGAGGCATGTCGATCACGTGATACCCCTCGCTAATAAATCGTGTCAACCCTTGTTGAAGTCATTATTATGTTATTATGTTTCACTCTGCCGTAACCTATGATTATTTACACCGATTACAATTGACAATGTCCACAGTAAGATTAAGTCTATCACTTCCATTTATATATCAGTTATATTCCAGTCTCCATTATGATTCAATTCAACACGTGGATGTCATACGTCATAAACGACCTAGCAAACACAGGCGTGTGTACAATGGTGATTTATTTCCTATGTCATCACTACGTATCAACGCAGTGTCTTTATATTTCTTGATAGATTATTACTGTGAAAAATGTCAGTTTTAAAATACTTAGTGTACATTCGTCGTGTGTAATATGATTGCAGTCAGTCGCATACTTGATTATAATTTACATAACAGTTTAAGCAACCTCCAATATGAAATCAGAAACTTATATGCACGGTAGCGATGTATGGGTGCCGTAATACGTCGCTATGATTCCCGTTGCAGTACGTTCTATACGGCCACTAGCTGACGTTTAATTCTCTAACATGAGACGCGAATACTTGTAAATATTCCCCGGAAATTACATTCACCAGGAATTGTAATTCATGTTCAATTCGAGTCAGACAATTTGAAACGTTGCTTAAAAATGAAAGTAAGGAATTGGACCACTAGAAATTCTGGCAGAAAAACATTTGTTTTTCTTCTTATAGTTTTGTGCTAGTTCTCTGATATTCAGGCGTGCGGATTTTTATCAGTTATTTTCACTGCAGGATTTTGTTTTTAGGACTTTTTCTGTGAAGATTCTTTTTTTTTTTCCAATTATGCCATCGCTCCAGATTTGTTTGATGGTCAATTTCTTAAACGCTATTTGTAAGCTATTCATACAATTCAAACATTAGCTAACTGAATGTATCTTTTTATATTGTATTGCTATAGCGTGTTGCCAAGGTAACATAAAGGTAGTAGTGTTCAGTACCTTGCTGTAATGGTAATATTCAAATAGCAATTATGTATGTGGTATCAATGTCTCATTCAGCGTCACGGTAAAAATAAAAATAATGATGATGACTTTATTTTATTTCACTTTGTAGAAAACCTAAATTAAATAAAAAGAATGATATCAGGCAACTGTACGTAATGTTCTCAGTTAATTGAATAGTAACACAGACATGTCCCTTTTGTCGTTTTCTGACTTGTACACGTACATCTTGCATAAGCTTAATTAATTGGTTTATGCCAAAAATACGTCATAGTAATTTTACTGTAAAATATAATTTTATAATTTCAGAGTTTTGACAGATCTAAGAGAATCATAGAAGAAGACGAAGAGAAAGATTTGCCGGAGTTGACGAGAATAAAAAGAGTGCGACGCGAAGAAAACGCCGACGAAGACGACGATGTGCAAGCCAGAATAAAACGCGTACGGAAAGAAACGAAAGTAATCACTCACCAACTTGAAAAGGCGTTGACGCGTACGAAGAGAATTGACGTGGAAGCGGAAGAAAAGAAAGACCCGACCGAGTTGGACAGAGTTAAAAGATATCGTCGAGATTTCGAGGAAAACCCAGACGGACTGAAGCGTGTCAAGAGAGTCCGCAAAGACACCGATGACGAGGAGGAAAACTCCAAGGAGTTAACGAGAATGAAACGCGTTCGTCGCGACATCGAGACGCCCATTAAACGTTCGTTATTTCGCAAAGGCAGCAGTGGAGATGCGTTGAATCGAGTAAAAAGATTAGAAGCTGCTGGACAGTTCGAGTCACATGACCCGGAACTCAAGAGGTTTAAACGCGTCAGAAGATTGGCTGAGACCCCAGATATTGAATTAAAGAGGTTAAGAAAGAGGAGTGATGACGTCACGCATAACGCGGAAGAAAGGCTCACGAGAATGAAAAGAATGAAATAAATGGGTAAATTGTGTAATATTTAAATAGTTTCGATCATTTGTATACACACGTTTTCTCTTTACCATTGGATGTGCATTCCATGTCTAGTTGGTGATACTAACATTTTTTCAATTTTTTTTACACAGTAGCATATCCTGAGTGTTCAGAGCATTGGTCCTACCAAATATGGTATGCTTCGCCTTTTATGGTATCCACCACCTTATACGGTATGAGTCGCATATAGAAAATTACCTTTGCTCGTGTACAGTTATCACCACTTGATGGAGGCAAGCGTCCACTACGACCAACTTGCACAACTCTGCTAAACACGTTTTTATTGGTAATTTCACTTTCTATAAACGACTAATCACAACATATTACCAGCGAGGGCGCTAGATAATTCATATATATATATCTGTCAGATTTACAATTACTACCTTTTATGTCATAAAGTTCACCTTTCAGGATATGGACATAATTATACCGCCTGAAATTCATTTATTGGAACATTGTTTTTGATTATTTTCCTTATGATATTTATTATAATTATTTTATGTATACCTTACTTATAAATTCGTATTATTGTCATTTTGTCGTGTCAGGCGAGTACACAATTTTTACATGTTTATAATTATTCACACAATCGTAAAAGTTGCATTCCCACTTAGTATGATATGCAGAAACATTTCGCTGATCAATATAAATCATCAAAATGTGTTTCTCACATAATTCAAAAATCGAATTCGGAATGACCGTTCAAAATATCATTGAACTGGCTTAAAGTGTTTGAACAATAAAAAGTGTGTATAATTTCGCACCTTCAGTGCAGGCTATCTTCAGTATTTCATATTTCGGGATTTGTTTCCCGGCCAACTGATTCGATCTTTTGTTTTCATTGTTGTCATATTAATTAGTGAAATGTGTTTTTAATATTAATGCAAAGTGGGAATTCAACTTCAATATGTATTTATTTAAATGTAATGTTTTTGGTAAGATAACAATGACAGATAAATTGATCGATTTACAATGCTTCAATGTTTGTGCTGAAATGGTAACGCCCTCTACCGGTGAAAGAAAATTAATAATTTCATATCAGATCACTTCCTCCATTTATTCATATTTGGTAACGCATTCAGCGATGAACCACGTGGGACTGGACATTAGCCGCTCGACAACTCAACCATGCTCTGTGCCCTTTCTGCCAATTTCCATCAGGTGCACAGATTGGAGTCGAACTCCTGTTATTACAAGTGGCGATAGAGGGCGCACGTTTCTGTCGCCTGTACTTTTAGTCGCATTGAATCGATTGAACTGCAATCTGATTGAAATTAAATGATCACAGTTTGTTTGTTTGTTCTTTTAAATTGTGTTTAATTGTTTATTTTTATTATACATTTTGTTTTCTTTTACTTTATTTTATTTTATTTTAATTTATTATTCATTTGCTTGCAGTTTGTTATTAAAGTGGCGATAGTTAAAAAAACACCGAATCACAAGTACGTAACAAAACACATAACAAAAAATAATTAAAAAAATAGTAAAAGTAAAATAAATATATATAAAAAAAATACACGCCGTATAATACATCAGATTGAATTGAACTGCTGGCAATTTAGGTGTAATTTATTCGAGTAACGTTTAAACACATTTGTAATTAGTGCTTTCTGTTATTGTTTATACTTTAATGATGGATACGTTATAAAATAAAAAGAAATATCAAAAAATGCTTTTCTTCATTTTTAACACTGGTTTAATAGGAACACATTATTTTTTTTATAAACAATACTCCCTGTGACGTTAATGTGCGTTTGATTATCGCCAACTTAGGAAAATGGGGTAATTTTGTGCACCCTCTATGGATGAGATTATGTTTGATATGATCACCCAAGACTTCTTCAAATGTAACTAAATATTGTAACAAATGACCAGCAATACAATATTCTAATAATTTAGCAAAAATTGAATATTCCAATGATTAACTAACAATTCAATATTGTGCTTCTATTTTAACGCAACACACTGAAAGTTACAACTTTGGGAGGCAGAATGTCGTAAGGAATTATACAAAATGTAGTTAAAAGCAAAGTACTTCATCTTGATATTAACGAATGTTACACGCTGTTTAGTATTTTGATTGTTGGTTGTAAGTATTAGCTCAAAATCAGACAACAATTAAATAAAAACGAAACAAATAATCACGTTCTTTTCGTTTAATAATAAACATCCATGTTAAAACATTATTACATAACATAAATAAATATTATTTGTCAGCATTTTTCAATAATTCGGGAAAACCTTAAGTACATGTATCTGGAGTGTGCGATCAATAGCATACTAAGTTAATAAAGCTGTATTGTGAAAGGCAGGGAAATCAGGCGATAAGTTTTTACGGTAGCAACCCACAGGAACAAACTAACACATATTATGTTTATTGTTTAGAAATAGTTTGGTACAAACAATCTGTTGGGATACAGAATACGCCAAAGAAACTGATACTGATACTGATGATAAAAGGTACACATTGAAGACATACTTCGTAAATTCTACAATTCTTGTCAGCAGAGTTATTGAACACGGCGATAAAAATACACTATTTTAATATAGCACGCAACAGGAACTATCACCAATCGATACAGTGGCGCCGGAATTGGGGAGGGGGCAGAGGGGTGGTTGCCCCCTCGAAATAAAACAAACTCAAACTTAACTCAACTCAAACTCAAATGTTGGAGGCGTGGATCTTTGTGTCGGCAAAATTTGCCCCCCAAAATGCAGAAAAATAGCGTTTCATAGGGTCTTGATTTCACAATTTTAAATGGGAACATGCCCCGGACCCCTTAGTAAAGTCCCGCCTTCGGCGCGAGGTTGGTGAGCAGATCTCGCCCCCCCCCCCATTTCGTGCCGCCGCCTCTGCGATAGTATGTGTATTAAACTCTCACCGAAACCAAACACGTTTAATAAACATGTTATCGATTGGTGATACATGTGTAGTTTCTGTTTCTATATGAAAATTGTGTACTTTTATCGACTTTTATTTGCGACGCCATTTGGCTTCGCTCGTTTGTGTTAAGCCAGGGAGGAACACTAGCTCTTCTGTGTCGATAAAAATCCTAATGTCAGAAAACAACAAATTTAATGACACCAAATGTATCAGCAATGACTAAAATACCATCACAAAGACTAAAGACCGAAAGAAGAAGAGCTATGGAACCACAGCTACCGTGGCTTATGTTATCTTTCAAAGCTGGAACGGATATTAGAATAGGCTACACATCTGTGTGCCCTCTAAGCCGATGTGACGCGCCACTGACGATTGGTATCACAGGACGATTGGTATCAATCGTTGTTTCCTCATAAATTGGAACTAGACAATATCTGGAACCGACAATAAAATATCAGCGGTAGTGAATACATATTTGTAAAGTACCTCAAATATAGATACAGATGATTTGTTTGGTCAATACATGTGCTCGTCAATAAATATTTCTTTTTCTCTATTACGTCCATGTTTCGGCTACGATCGACATTCAATGGAGAGTGTTATAGACAGATTAGCCAGGTAAGGTAAGTACCCACCCCCAATTTTTAATGCATTGAGAACGTGCTACCTAGACGGAAGGCGACGAAATGTCGCAAACGAGATGTATATGTCTGACGGCGCATTTACGTGGCATAGTTCTAACCCCTTGCTGTACGTCATGTAATCCTGTATATGTATGCGTGTATGCATGTTGGTTTCTCATGTACCATATATTAATATATGTAATTTTAATCAGTCTAGTTTATTTGATGTATTAACTCATTGTATGGCCAACAGCCAATTGATTATGGTATATTCTACAGAGCTTTCATGAAGGCGGCGACCATCACGTGACACATACCTCTCTTAATAATAGTGAAAACAAGATTGGCACATCAACTAAATACATGTGATAGTAACCACAGCGTAGTGTCCAATTATCGTGTCAACATCTTTCTTGCCTCCACAAAAAAACAGTCAGTCAAGTGCAGAGTAGGAATTCGCAATACAGTCTTGTCAGATAGATTATACACGATTAAACTGTATGTATATTATTATTATTATTATATCATTTTCCATTGCCCTGAATTGTCAACAATTATTGGCCAATTAAAATGGTACACAAATGCCAAAAATGTTTGGCCAACTGAGACATTGCCCATCTGTATCATCATCAGCACTATTGTGTTCATTATTAAGTGGCCGCCATATTGTTATCATTGTTTATTATCCGGCGTAATTTCTTTTATAGTGAGAACAAATAAGATGCCGTCAACTGAATATACATACTATTTTTATTAATACAATACTTTCGGGCTACAATGGAAAAGGGGCAATCAATGTTACTTTTCAAACTAATTTTATTTCAGCTATAACTGAATAATTTGATATTTTCTTGCTGTTTCCGTTTTGCATAAAAACAGTGACCTGATCTATACCATGCTTTTGTTGTTGCTAATGCCCTACTGAAAACCAAAAAAAAATTCTAAGAATAGTTTTTATGTTGCATGATATAAATCTCAGTTTGCTATATATAAAAAAGTTAAACTTGGTTGAATAAATGTCACGAGGTCGCTTTGTTGTTAGTCACATGACATGACCAGTGCGAACTTTCCTCGTACCGGAGAATGACACGGCGTAAAACCTTCACTTTAGGTCAAAATTCAAATATTTGGCCGTTATTTCACATATCTGCGATGTCGACTTGGTTGTGTTGAATAATGGACAAACTGCATTCATACTTTTTGTTCGCCTTTTCTACCTCAGTTTTTCTCTGCTCTTTGATTTCTTCCTTCGTCCACGGCCGGTACACCTTGGGCCACATGTCAGGGGTGAAGAGCTGTTCGTAATAACCACCCTTTCCGATGCCGGTCTGCAAAAAAAAATAGAATCTCTGTGTTTTAAATCCGGGTATTTTTAATCTGAGCTTAAACATCATGATGGATCAATACAGTAGCAGGGGCAAAACAATCATATTGCGGGATGAGCCTTTATTTCTGACGGGGAGTCTATATTAGATTTTTCGGAATGTTTTTTTCCTCCTTCACTTGGTGATATTTCGACACAAATCTCAGAGATGCCTGCGTGTAGATGTTATGTTATTCTACAGTTACATTTCGATTTTCTGCAAAACTTGATTCTATCATTGTCAACTACAGAAAATATGACCCGGCCCTGAAAGTAAATAACTAGAACGCTTACATGACGGTGGAACAGATTACGCAGCTTGTTGGCGTATCTGTCTGGGTTTGTGTCGCCTTCAAAATTCCTTGTATCTGCACGTACAACCAAAGAACCACCGATGAAGAGGTCGTCAACTAGCTTCCCTTTTTTGTATACTCTGAATACGGCTTGTGGGAAAGGGGAACACTTGCAGTTAGACACATTGGCGTCAGCAGGAGTAAAGAATTCGGGCGCTTTTAGTTCAGGGTATCTGGGAAAGCAAAATTATGTGATTATTGTGGTTATTTAATTGAATTTAAAGGAATAGTTACAATGAATTGACCAAATCGTGACGCAGTACTTGGAAACCTCATTGCTTTGTACGTAATACCCTATTATAAGTGTGACATCTTATTACTAGTGGCTTATTAAATGTAATTAGCATACGTACTTATCGATGGTGTCTTCAATACTAATAAGAATGGCAAGTGGCGCCTCCAAGAACCAATCTTGAGTTCGGATCCAGGCCTGTGGAAGTTCATGAATATATTCAACTTTACCGGGCGTTGTTCCAGTTTCCTGTGGTGTAGTGCCCTCTTGTGGACTGACCAACATCACATCACAAAGAAAACCTTGTCCGAGCTGATAGAGGGCAGACACTACGCTAACATGCTCTGTTGAAAAAAATTACAACATTCTTGTATGTATTGGAATATCTATTTCAAGTATGCACAGAAATTCAGTAGCGTTGAAGCATATATACAAGGCGGAATTTGGTCCGTCGAAAACAAACTGTAAACAAACAAGCTCTCTGATTGGTCTGACTGTTAGGTGTTAGGGTTGGGTAGCCAATCAGGCACAGTCTTCAGTCTTCTTTCAGTGACTGGTCGGCAAGGCTGAGATTTAATTATCAAGTTAATTTGTTCGGTTCTCAGTTGCAAAGCGACGTCTAGTAACTAAGAAATAAATACTTACTGATGACCCATTTGCAGATTTCTTCCTGGTCTATCGGACTGAATGTCTTTCTAGGTAGTTCAATCTTGTTGTACGTCAGTCGCAACATGTGACACATAGTTCGTATATTGTATCGGAATCCGTGAATGAAACCGGAAGCTGCTCGACGATCACGTGACTGCATTGGAGTACCAGCAAAATACATGTCTTTTACCGTCGACTGCCAGTGCTCGTCGAGAACTGGATACTTTCCATGCTGATGTGTCTCTGAAGACAATAAATATATTTGCGTATATACACTATTATTATTTCATTCGGTTGCATTGGTACAATTACGAAGATTAAAGGACGGTAGTCGTCGTGCCGCGTCCTGTTCGATATGGGACTCATAGCGACGTATACAACGCGTGTAAAATACATTGTTTATATACATGGAATTCGAACACGCGCTGCGTGACGACCACCGCGCTTTAAATGGTGGTCGTCGCCGCGCCGCGTTCTGTTTTCAACATGGAAACTTGTAGCGACATACACAACGCATGTGAAATACATTGTTTTTTTCGAAGAAATTCGAACACGCCCTGCGCGACGACCACCGCCATTTAAGTTAATCTAACAACATCATTAGGATTGCTATAAACTACCATTATTATTATTATTTTCAGACAACGAACCAGTAATTCGAATGTAAAGAGATGTAATCGTAGACAAATATCGTATTAGCTCTGGTAACAGAACTAAGACACCATACCATACCATAACATACAATACCATACCATACCATACCATACCATACCATACCATATAACACAAATCCGTATATTTTCAGGCAAGAAATGGAAAAAAAAATGAATAAATCACGGTGATAATTGTCTTACCTGGTTTACACGAATCATCAAACATAGTAACATTAACAAATTTCCAACCAGTGCAAGCGATGATTTTGTCATAGCCAACGGTGACGAAGCGACCTGTACCAGGGGGATCCCAATTTGGTAGGTGCATATCGTACTCGATGTTGTATTTACCGTCTTCCGTCTTCCATATTCGAGTGGCTTCACATTTTCTCAAGGCGTGCAAGGACTTGAGATGGTACATGTCCACAATATTGTTGTTGACAGCGCGGAGATGACCAACGAAGTGAGTGTCCCAAGAAAACTTGACCGGGTGTCTATTGAACAGATGGATTAGACCAGCGGTATCCGCCAGGTAGTCACCAACCTGTCCAAAATATACAATGCAAGTATTAATTAGAGTCATTCACATTATTCCACTCTCATCAGTGTTATTAGGCTCATCATCTTGACCTCATAGCTACTAAGAAAATGTTTATAACGTTATAGCTTTATCTTTAACTTCAAAAGTAATACTTTAAGGTAGCGAGAAGGGAAATTTTCACTTTTTTCTTGATTTTTCAAAAATTGATAAAACGGTTACTTTAGACCTTGATACATCACCCCAGGTTTACAAAAGATCGAAATTGCGAAAGTCTAGAACATGGTAGCACACCGGTTCTAGCCATATATATAAAATGACTGTGATAGCAACAGAACTGTCTTTGCAACATTCACTATTATAATTATATACACGAGTAAAATGCACACGAAAAATTCGAACTAATTCGCATCAGTATTTCTCAAGTTACAGATGAAATCCTTTTTTGAAATTTCCAGAAAAGTCGCTAAGATGTCACAATTTACCCATAATCCTTTGCTGGAGAATCAAGATACATGTACCTGTATATTCATTTGCTAACCGCGTTTCCGGCGGTTAACTATCGTCTGCTGGGGATGGCAAATAGACGGGGTGTGGTATGACCGGGCCACATGACTGGAGGTATTGGACAGAAAGATTGAATATCAGTTTAGGCCAGTTTCGCTACGGTGCAGTTTTCAAATTTATTTGTTTTGTAAGTTTATTATTGTTTTTGTGTCACAATGGGTGACACCCGCCACTTTCCGCTGCTTACGCTCGACAGTGCGACGGGTACAGGTTTCCAGAGATGTTTTGTCCAATTTCCTATACGTGTCAGTAACGGGGGTGCTATTTTTTGTTAACGACATGTCAGTTATTCTAAATGTTTCTTTAACATACTAATGTTAGTGGCATTAGCCGAGTACCACTAATCGATATTTTTCGCAGCCAATGCCGGCTTTTTGAAGTTTTTTCTTGTTTATTGTTGTTATTTTCAATCAGTTAACTTGTGCACTACAATGGCAATGTAATGGCAGCCGTTTTCAGTCTGCTTATTAGTGTATTATAATAAATAAATAAATAAATAAATAAATAAATAAATAAATAAATAAATAAATAAATAAACAAATAAATAAATAAATAAATAAATAAATAAATAAATAAATAAATAAATAAATAAATAAATAAATAAATAAATAAATAAATGGTTCGCCGGACTGACTGCACATACTTCGGCGTGAACCTTACCTTATGTAAGTGTGTGTTGTGCATTGTCGGATGTGACGAGTCTAGAAAAGACGGTGGACTACACAGACCACTTTCCCGGAAGTCGAAGATACGGCGTTTTGCATGCGCGCGCATACCGTTTTGGGGTGTAACGTAAACTTGCACGCGTGATATTGTGCTTCTGGACCTACCAATCGACGTCACAAAAAATAAAGTTTCATTCTATCGAGTATCAACAAACTGACATGTTTGTATTCACCGCCATTACGAAGCAGGTGTATTTCTGCATCCCAGTCTCCCTACTCTCGGGAAAGTGGTCTATACTTGTGAATATCTACAGAATGACAAGTGACATATAAATAAAAACTGTAAAATACATTCTCCTACATTTGTGGAAGCTTTTCATCTCAGAGTTGTTTGCCCAGTACTAGTTTGTTAACAATAACATTTCCTTACTAAAATGATATCATGTGGTTTCAAGCTTACTGATAAACTCACTTCAAATGCACTATTTCCACCTCCCAGGATACAAACTTTCTTGTTCTTGTAGAGTTCTTTGTCGAGGCTGTGATTCTCGTAGGTATCGACAAGTTCGATTCCTGGGATTACTGGATCGTCTGGTAAAGCTGCACCAGTAGCTATCAACAACACTCGGCAGGTAAGTTGACTGCCATTATTGACGGTGAGCGTGAATTTCGATTTCGATTGATGGTCATCCGTCATGTCGTCCCGATGCACTACTGTGACGTTGGTATTGTAGCGAATATTTGTTGGGTATTTCTTGCAAAAATCTTCGATGTATCTTTGTACATGAGAGAAAGAAAGAAATTTAAATTGTGAAGCAATTGACCAACGCTACACTCGGTTCCAGTCTTTTGCCGCTACACTACTGTTCCTCGGGCGCCCGACGAGCCGCGTATCCCTTTGCATAAATACCGTTGAGGGCAGAATAACAACAAGAAACGTTTTCTGTAAATCGCGCCCTCTAGTGACAAATCACTTCTATGACGTAATTGATTACATGAAGGCCGTTCAAAACATGTATACCATGTATATGATTTTGATCTGCAGACGTCCATCAACAAAGATTAGGATTTTTTGAGCAATTGTGTTCACCCATTCACGTATTTTTTCTCAGAGAAGCGCACCGTCTCCGGATGATGCAATATATAGGAATGGTGTATGGCACTGTGGCGTCGTGCGAATGTGTGATGGCAAATGTCGCTCGCTGATCAACACAGGCTCGCGATCGACTGCGATAACATTAACAGAAACACTTGTATTTAATAATAGCAGTAGCAACCAACGCCGTTATTTCATCTTGGAGTACGAACGACCGGTACCTGACAACCAGTCACTGCGCACGCGCACCTGCGCAGAACGCAAACAAGTGCGACGGCCTACATTACGCGAGAACCAGAGACCGGAAATCGGAAAAACATGCTTCCAACATTGATGTGGACATTTGTATATCGCATACATTACACGTGAACCTCATCGGCGTTATGGAAGTGCTTATACAAATAGTAGAATAGTTTTGGTGACCTCCTTTGCATTATGTTTAGGTTATTTACATAATTAATAAGAGAAGAGATGCTACTCACTCTACTAACATGTCAGCATTTGGGAACAGTTTATCTGTATAACTGGTGAATAAAAGCGGGTTATCTTCTTCGTTATTGATGAGGGAGTTCCAGTCGTGTCGAAGATTGAACTCAGCTTCTGGGAATACGTTATATTTTTTGTTAATTGAGATGAGAGTGCGATGGCGTGGCTGTGTTCGGAAGAAAGAACCTGGACCATCTGCTCGCTCCAAGACTAGATAGTCCATCTTGGCCTTCTCCATGAAGTACGCCATCTGAACCCCGCCTGGCCCGGCACCAATCACGATGTATTCATAATCTAGAGAAACAAAAAAATCATGATTTAGTATATTTCAAATAAAATGTAATCAGAATGTCGAAGGTCACGGTGGAACCCTAATCTGATCATGTCTGCTAAAAAGTGTTAAACCCTTGTTGATTGAACTAGGAATACAGTACAAAACACGAATTATTAGATCAAGCATGTCACTCACGTGTTTTATCGCTTTCCATTTTAAAAATAATAATCTGCAATAAAACAGAATTAATGAAATATGTTATCCATTAAAACAACCCACTCTACATCAACTTATGCTAATATTCACAAGTTTGCGGTTCGATAGATTAGTAGCATGCGAAAAATCTAAAATGTTGGTAGGATGAGGATTTTAATTTATAGTCCTCGTATAATGGTTTTTCTTTTACGCGAAGAACGTAGAACACTAAGCCGGGGTATTTGAAACCGAAATTA